TGTCGGTTTGTCGGTCTGTCCGTCCGGGTTACTTTGTGATTATGATAAAGGTAGTGATATGGAAAACTTATTCTTCTTATATAAAAAGCAGTCACTTTGTGGGTAGGCTAATGGAGTAAAGTGAGCACTGCGGAGTGAAGTGAGTAATATGAAGTGAGGTGGATGATTCAAATTGTGATCTCTACTGTACTGTAATGGCAGTACTTCGACACTGGTAAATATAAAAATTACCACGGCGTCTAGTAAAAAAAAATTAACAAAAAAGCGATTCTGTGATGGAATGAAAATTTCATCCTCTCAGTTGATATCGATGTTGTAGAAATGTTTGTTGGTATATTCAACAATAAAAGAATTCTTTTTTTTTTCAGATTGCCATCGATCATCGTGAAACTACTGCTCGGACCTCAATTTACTATTCCGGGAGAAAACCAGTTTCAGCAATATTACGGTTGAGAACGCAAACCATTGAAACATACACATCAAGTCTCTTCGACCAGCAGAATAATCGGGACTGGACGACTGTTCCATGACGGAGGAAGGAGTGTAAATTGCGGAGGGGCCTTCCGAGAAGTAAAATAATGGATAAGCCTACACAGAGCCCCTCAACACCAAAGCGTAGTAGTTTCTCAGCAGATATGATGATTAGGCGCAGATGGTTAAGCCCGCTATCGGAGATTAGAAGACTTTTCGCTAAATGAAGGAATGTATACATGTGAAAGTGATTTATCCTTATCAAAGGTGATTCTGTAGAGTATGGACCAATAATTTTCTGATTTTCGTAGGCTCTGAGAATTTGCGAGTAAATCATGTAAACAAAGGCGCACACCCAAATATAAGCGAAAAAAGCGGACAGCTAGGGATTTCATGCATAGTAAGTCACTACCGAATCTCTTTTGTACTCCAAGAAAAATTCCAAAAGATGATGGGCTAAAATCTGATCTCGAAAAGGAATGCATTGAGAGGGAAGCCAAACACTTGAAATAATTTTGATTTGAGTTTTTTTACTGATTTTTAATAAGTCGGATTGCCCGGCTGAAAATGGGTTCTCCTCTTTTTCATGTTCCAATTGGCTCACCGCCTGCACTCCATTTATACTTGGACGTTCTGGTAAAGGAAAACAGGAGTTTTCATTCCCGGCCAAACACCCACAAAAACTCACGTCCTGCTCACTTAAGTCCAGTATGTTTGGGTAATTCGGTTCATCCCCCACTTATTCAAACTTGATACCTATTTATACTGAAATTGTGCTCATTTCATGCACGTTCCGCTTTTCTTTCCTCCCTTGCCCTCCACGGTTGAAGCCTAGCTTAGTCACTTCCTACCACCCATAATCAGTGTTCCCATCCTGTCGCCTGTACTCCTACACTCATTTTGTACGCTCTAGGTTCACGGGAACAAAAGTTATGAATTCTGATACACACACATACACAGGCACATACAAACAGTCGCACACACACACCATAGCGTCATATGTAATAGGATATCGGTTATATTTTTAATGTGGGATAGTTTTTGGTTTGGATAGCTGGGAGATACCATTCATATAGAACGATAAATGCCCTCGATCTTAATACCTGCATAACTAGGGCCGAGTAACGGTATGGAACAAATGCCATCTCATTAAATAGGTAAGGGTGCAGTATGAGTTTACTAAATGGATTTGTTTTGCACGAATATTGTTGCTATATCAACCATACCACTTCGTGAGAGTATTCGTTTTGTAATTCTGCTCACAAAGATTGTAAGGTCGATCAAGTTTGAATGTGGTTCTTGCATAGGGCAGGTCTTGAGCGAGAGTTCGTGGCTCAGACAATTCAGAAGAAAAATTTCGATTTATAGCACTCCAAGCAGTGTAGGCATTAACCACTGCTAATGGTCCCCTACAGAGGGTAGGTGCAAGCGAAAGCCTTTAAATGGCATTAGGTTGAAGTTTGAGCTCAGTACATTGCAAAGTATTATTCAGTTCTACCAGTGGGTAAGAATAGAGGCCAAGCCATGATGTAGTTGATGATTCAGAAGCAGTTTCAGCTGTTGCCGTAGAATTTCCTAGGCACATGAACGAACGGAACACACAAACAACACAAATACACATCGGCATACGCCAAATATGAAGTCAAGAATAGAATTATTATTTCAGAAATAGAATTGATGGTCAAATCACGGTGGAAGTAAAAGTAAGCAAAAGTATAGCACGAAATTTGAAAGGATACTATCACTAGGAATCACCAGAAATTGGAACCAACCTGAGTGAGGATGAATAGGTGGATACCGAGTAAATGTACGCCAATGTGCATCACAACTTGAATGTGTGAAGTATCTCCATAGGCTGTACGATTTCTTGATAGCAATTCAAACAGGCACGAATACACCAAACCGATTAGAATGCATAGATACAATGGCAATGGGATTACTGTATAGATCAGAAGTACTACCTGAAAGAGGTCAACGAAAATGACTTCTTCACGAATTCTTGCAAGACTGATATTTTAAGAGGTTTTTCTTTCTCGCTAAAGGCCTACTTCATGAATGGATACTAGTAACGAGCCATTTTAGTCAGATTTCAGCTCTGATACCTTTTTGTAAGCTCTGCTGTTACCAAAAATGGGATTCATCGAGCTAGCTCTGTTTCTCCTCAATAGCAGTTGACAACTAATATATTTCCATTAGGGAGAACCCCTACTATTGGAGAAAAGAAAATGAGAATAACGAGGAGATAAAAAGTAAAGTTGAGGGTTGTATTTGCCATCATTACTGGTGGCCCGAAAATTATCGAAGGGCCAGGTAAAAACAGCAAAAAGTCGCTGAATGGAATAAAGATGCAGAAAGTTGGATTGAAAAGTTGTTTCTTAGAAAATTGCGTTAAAAATACCCTCAGGCGAGCAGTAAGTAGGCCAATTTCGAGAGGAATTCTTCCTTAATCAATATTTCACATCAAAATGCCTCTTCGAGGAAGGAAAGCAGCTCTTGACTAGCGTTGAAGGTGAAGATTGGGGAAGACCCGATTTGAAGGGTGAGAGGTTCGTTACCTATGTTACATTTATCAGAACTGAGCTCTAAATTCCCGATAGTAATGGATGATCTGGTAAGATTCTCGAAATGACGGCAGCTACAATACGAGAAAACGAAAAATTGAATGGAGATGCGGAGCTCCGTTCATCTCCCATGATACCCATTTGGTAGAACCCTTCTTTCGAGTAATCGAACGGATTCTGCTGGGACAGAAACGCACAGGCTTTCATTTCTATTGGGATTTTCGTTGCAGTATCAAGAGTAATTCATCACAAGGATTCTCGTAAAACAATGATGCCAGTCACGCTATCGATCTCACCCTCCCTAGCAAATCCAATCAGCCCACGCTTCTTTACCCTAATTTTATCTTGCACGGGAGAAACCTAGCCTTGAATTTTGACTTGAACCTTTTTACCTTCAACAAAACCTAACCATAAGTGCCTTCGCACTTAGAACCTTTCTTTTGGCCACTCATGTCCTCTGAGCACTTTAGTGTGCTTCCATGAGGAAGATTTAGAATCGAAAAATCATGCTGCTTGACTATTTTCGCAGGCATCCCCTTCATTGCTCTCTAGGCGCCCTCTTCTGGCTCACAACTCTGAGCTTCCCCTACAAAGAAACTCGATGGGAAGTCCCGAACTCTCAAGAATGCTCGCTCTCTGATTTCACTTTTGAAAACAATCATAATCGCAAGAACATAGTTGTGGCAGCAGTCCACTCTCTCAAAATTACCTGAAAACTAGTGGCGAGACTGGCAACAGGCGTCATAAACGCTGACTTGGAGTCAGACGAGAATATCAGGAGAGTGACTAGACAGATGAGAAAAGTACAGAGGAACGACGTTGGCATGTAAAATCGTTGATACTGAGATGAACAGAGCGTAAAAGAGAGCATTGCCAGACACACCATGACCAGTGCGGCAGCTGTGAGCTGAAAATAACATTAGTTAATTCTTAAATTCCCTGATTACTGCTCTATCAAGCTTTAAAGAGAATTTTCGAGAGCAGGACATGTGCACTCTTTTTTCTTGCTTTCTTTTTTTCAAAAAAAATTCAGATCATCTAGTTCGTACCCAGTGTTGCAGGCCTGCCTTTTCGAAAATTGCAAGATAAATTGTCCATGCGAAGCAGACAAATGAGATGTAGACAAGGCCGGAGCGGAAGCGATCCCTAGAATAGGAGAGAAGTCAGAGGGACGTCTACGAATTAGCAGAAAAGCAATGCAAAACAGAACAACAGACCTAAGCTGTGGAAACGAGCATTTCCAATACTGCGCTTCGAGTGATGGAGATCGGAACTGTGGATTCCACCAGCGCGCTGAGGCTCGCTCGAATAGGGGTACCCGTCTGGGTGAAGAGGAATGGGCCCTTACGGCAGGTCCACCGGAGCCGCCAAGGGCCGGCGTCCGCTCGCCCGGGTCCTCCTCCATCCGACTGCCAGCCGACGGCTATACGTTGTCGTTGTCGCCGTCGCACTCAACCCTCCGATCTCGTGCACACCCTCATCGTTGCCTTGTCGCACTCTCGTCCAGCGCTACTCTCGAGTCCCGTCCCTCGTCCTCTTCCTCTTCACACCACGCCACCCTTTTCGGTCTGCTCCCTCCTTCACTTCAACGAAATGTAAGATACGCTTGAACATCTCGGTAGTTTGCCGTCCACCACTCCTTCTGACATCATTTCTCATTACTCTCCTCCTAGCTCAGTATGCTCTCAATCCCGATCCCTGCTTAAGCAACCACCTAGCGCTGGCCCTCGCCGGCCGTCGCCTCTGTTTATCCTCTACGTCTATCCTCTCTCCTTCCCACACTTTCCTCGACTTTTCTTTTTATCTTTCCCTCTCGTCGCACTTGACAGCGACCATCATGTACGGCTGGACTTCGTCCTGCTCCAGTTCCTGCGAACTCTCTCAGTCACAATCATCAACACCTTCTCTTTCCCGTGAAGGCAATGAAACGCATTTCCAGCGAGATGGTCTTTGGCATGGCCCAATGGCCACCTCAGCTACTAGACCTTCGCGATTGCTTGGGTCGGCAAATTCCGAAAATCAAATGAAAAGCTGCCCCTGGGGAGGAGTCAACGCGTGCATAGTCCTCGTTTAGGTGTCTTTTTGCAGATCTCATTCTCTGGAATGGAGGCTTTCTTGCTTAACTTCTAGAAATGAACCGCTAAGAGTGTCGAGGACTCCCATTTGAGAGGGAAAGCCAATCAAGGAAACCACGGTTGAACTCATTTTTTTTTTCAGAAACATTCTTAGGGTACTTGGTAAAGGAAAAGCAATGATCAGCAAAAAGAAAGTCTCCCATGTTTTACACTTATTGTTCAATGGATAGGGTTTCGGAGGAAGAAAAGTACACTGAAATTTGAAACCGACCCGAATTCACGGAAATGTATGAGTATGCCTAAAAATAGTTGCAGAAAATTGTCGCCAAGAAGGAGGATCTCGTATCGCTCCATTGCTCTTGCCCCTACCGCTATATTCAGTATAAGACCCCCACCAGATTGTATGAGTAGGCCTTGGGCCCAGACATTGTTAGACAGAAATAGTTTTGAATAAAAAAGAATCCAAAAATAGATCTTGTAGTCGCACATCATAACGATTAGGCTAATGAAGGCCTCGACAGAGCGATCTCTGCACTGATCAGTTTGCAGTAGTCGGAAATAACTCCAAAAAATCGTAAAATTACTCATCTAAATATTTTCCCCATGTTTACGCCCCATAACCACATTTGAATTGATCCGTGGTATTTCCAAAACAATGCCAAGGTGCCTTTGAGCATAGGAATCCGAAAAGAAGCGGAACCATTGGAAATGCTCTCATTGTCTCGGCCATATACGGGAGAATTGAGTTGTGGGCTATCTTATAAGCGAAACCTGAACGGTTCCCCAGCCAGGGTTCTCACAGATCTTGTTGCCGATAAGAACACTTTTTGGGAACTTCATTCAAAATGCAAAAGTCGGGGTATTTGGAAAAATGGAAGGCTTCAATAAAGTGCACTTAAAATCGAGGGTCGAACAAAAAACTGACTACAAAAATAGTATGGGAGGCGCGCCGGGACGAGATGTTCAAATGTGTATGTCAACAAGTACAGTTGGCTACAGTAAGCTGCCTCCGTGCAATATGTGCGTCCCGGTGCGAACGGTACAACCTCTAGAGCCTCCATAACATCGTGAGAACTCGTCTGCCTTGGGTGTGCCCTTATATCTGTCCGCTGAGCCAGTTTTGTGGCCCTTATTACGTCCTGACTGAGCTGTTTTTCAACCCGACAGCGTCCCTTGTTCAAACCTCTGGGGTTATCGGTTCATCCTAGAGAGGAATCTCAGAACGTGTTTTATTGTGAACTGTGCCTTTGAAGCGGACAGAAACCGCTGTTGCCACGGGGGACTGTCATCAGTAGCGAAAGTAGGAAAGGAAATTATAAGGAAGTAAGTGGGAGTGGGAATAATTACCTACGATCCAAAGTATTTGAAAAACCAATTCATACTGCTCGTATGTGCCCCGTACCCACTTGACTCTCCAATGACGAAGACAAGGAGGAGAAAATGAACGAAAGCTGCCTACACAGGAGAAGCAACGCACTACCATCACCCTGCATTCTAATTTCGTGCATGAAGGGCAGTAGCTGGGGCGACAGCATTTGCGATCTGAAGTGTAAGGAAGACCTCATGCCTAGAATCATATCTTCTAATAGATGACCCATGTTTGGAGAAGGGTTAACCTTCTTAGGAAGCCAATCTATCAGTTAAAGGAGAACTGAACCTAAAATTAGCTACCCATCTTAGCGCTATAGTACAGTAATTGTTTGTCGGTCGCAAATTCGGGGAACTACTCCTTGTATTTTTGCATAAAACCGAAGTGGTATAGCCAACCTCTGACGAACGTGATAATGCACACTGTACGCAATATTCCGTATCAGTTTGGCCACCTGCCAAAGGTATCGGAACGGTTCGCTGTAATCCCTCGTGCTTATTTCTCTGCTATACATCAATATCTGTATTGAACTATGTTTAATAATACGTTGGATAGGTTGGCTTCTTGTTTCTGGTTAGAATTTGCATAAAGGTTTCTTAGTCGTAAGAGAGAGTTTTCGAAATGCCGGTTATACCCAACACAGCACAAAGCCAATTGGGAAATTACTTTTTTACTTAAGGACGGGTGATAGCATCGTTCCAATCATGAGCACAGAGTAGTGGTAAGGTGCATTGTTTAGATCTTGTGAGCATTACTGAGCGATTCTCACAAGATGTACTGGCAGTGCAGTAAATTTAAACGAAATATGTGCAAGCAAAACATTGTTTCCAATTTGGTGGGATATTATTTACGCCAAACCCACGGCCTTGAAGAAAGGCCTTTAGATCTCATACACCCTCTACAAATTTTTTGTTTTATTATACCGGTCAGGTAATGTCCCCTACTTTTTTGTTACAATTCCTTCGTGCTTAACGGCACGTCCTATTTCCATTTCTCGTTCCGGTATTTTCGTCATTACTTGAAAAAGCCGCATCAGAATCTAAAGTTGCTCCTCTCAGAAATATGGATTTTATTGAACGGCAAGCAGAAGAATCAGATAGAGAGTCAACATCATCGTCATCGTCATCATCATCTACTGAACAGCAGCCAAAAGCAAAGAAGAGGAAGATTCAAAAAGAGAAGAAGAAGAGTAAGCGTGTCGTCGAAAGCGAGTGAGTCTTGATTTTTCAAAAATGCTCTAAAGATTAGGCATACTTATTTGTAACGGTTTTCCAAGCAATCATGAATCAAAATGTATGCTTTAGTGACGAAGATGATGAAGAGGAAGATGATGAGGAGGGTGCAGAAGAAATGAAAGGTTTCATTGCCGATGAGGAAGAAGAAGATGTAATAATTATGTTATACGTTTACAATAACTGTCATTTTTTCCCATTATTATTGCAAACCTGATGATCATATGAGATTGGACAGTGTGGTTTGAGCGACACTCCCCGTGTTTTATGACTAAGACTAGTTTTTGCACAGTTGAGCTCTTTCTTGGAATTTCTAATTTGCGTTCTGCAAGATCCAGGATGTGGACGATGATAAATCGGAAAAATCGGAAAAGTTAGAAGATGAAGAGGACGAATTGGACGACGACGACATTGATCTTATTCAAGTACGATAAACTTTCGCTTACTGCACTGATCCTTTTTGTAACATGTAAATGCTTCAGGAAAATCTCGGCAACAGAAAAGAGAAGAAGCAGCGCATTATTCAACCAGATGACTCCGACGAGGATGTTGATGACCGTACTGCTATTCAAAAGAAGCTCTTTGGAGAGGTTTGAATACTTGAGTTGGAAAATCTTCTTATGAGTTTGATTCCGTCGAGGACCTCATATTTAGAATTTGAAGGCGCTTGGTTCAGCCCGAGCATTTCTATTTCTTTTCCTGGCTTCTCTCATGTTTCAGAATTTCCACTTGTTACAGGGAGACGACGGTGAGGGCCCTTCAAGTCCACGAGACGAACACAGCGAACCCGGATCTGAAAGAGATCGGTATTCAGATTCAGAACAGAGTGGTCAGTCTATGTTCTACCGTGCCATTTTTTGACAGTAACTCAGACTAGAGCATAGCACAAGATAGAAGTGATAGTTGTAGCACTCCAGTACGCCACAGTGAGTGATAATACTTGTGATCACTTCCTGGAAAAAGAGAAGGAAGAAAAAGAAACAAGCCCGTGAAATCCTGATCGGACCCAATTACAGTAAACATCGGATCAGTTCCTTTCTAAAAATCGCAAAACTTTCGGTTACTTATGTTCTATATTTAAACTAGTCAAATTACATTTGTCCCAGTTCTTCAAATGCAATGTGAGGCCTATCGATATACAAAAAATTCATTCTCATTACAACTGCTCCTTCGCTTTTTTTGTACATTACACTATTGCAAGTGCTGCATCACTTCGAATTTGATCTGTTCATTTACACTACACTAAGCGAAACGAATTTTTACAGAGGACAACTTTATCGTCAATGAAGATGGAGGTCGGCATACGCATAGGCATCATAGGAGGAGAGATGGAAATATGCCTGAAGGGTTGGTCACAATTTGTGGATTTATCAGATTCTCTATTTTTCGTTCAGTATATGGAAAACGAACTTCCAACTTCCAACTACAATTTGTTCTATGTTTAGCACATTTCAGTCCTTATGCCGATATTTTTATTTTTTAGTGCGCTTGATGAAGCGCGAGACGTATTTGGCGTTGAAGACTTCAATTTTGATGAGTTCTATGACGAAGATGAGGAACCTGTCGACGACGAGGAGGAAGAGCAAGAAGATCTGATGGACGATGAGGGCGAAGGAGAAGCGAGAGTTAGTCTTTTGTGTTTCCTTTACTTTTTGCAGCTTACTCATATCCGCTCATTTAAGGTGCGACGGGTCCGAACGAAAGAGAAAACCAGTACTCTTCTAGACACCATGGAGCCATCGGAACTTGAGCGAGGTTTCATGGCTCCTCTGGACAAGAAGATACAATTAGAAGACAAGCCCGAAAGGTAGCCTTGTTTCTGGATCGCATCATATTTCTATACGATTAAGATGTTGTAGGTTCCAATTACGACGAACGCCCGTGACTGAAGCGGACGATATGGAACTGGAGCTTGAGTCAAAGTGGATTTATTACCATGCATTCTGCGCCACGTCTATCTCTCTCCAGGTACTTCTTATTTCTCTTCCATTCTTCCCTTCAAAAATAAAATCAACCTCGTTGCTTTCTTTTGTGAGATCCCCACTTATATCAGGGTGGCAATTCGTAAGGTCATTATAGCACATCTGAAGAAGTTTCTTACCGTTGCATGGATCTCCCATAGTTTGTAACGTTGAATTAATATGATTACTTTCTCCTTCGATTGTCTGGGTACCAGCATCGATCGCTCATACCAGGATACAAATCCTCAAAATACTACGCATGTGCCGATTAATGTCCTTAGCTGAACCAAACAAGTTCAAGTTTTGAACGGTTCTCGTTGAACTTGTGCTGGTCCTTGAATACTATTTTGCACCATTGAGAGATCAGTGTGGGTTGAGAAATAATAGTGTTAGGTAGTTAATTACGCCATTTAAACGAATTAGGACTACAAAAAAACAGTCAAGGAAAAACAGTCTCGGAATGCCATTCACAAAGAAACGCTCGTGTCTCTCAAAACGAGCCAGCTCTAACAAGGCGTTTTAGAGCTTGGATCGTTTTTTTAGCCTCTGTAATGGATTTTGCTAGGCACATCTTCAAACTAAATTCCGTGCTAGAATTAAAGGATAGCTGTGGTCGACTACTGTGTCTTTTAATAACGTTCTTTTTTGAGAAATCAACGCGCTTGGCTTTCGTCAGCGAATATCGTGGTGATGATCGATCACATTGTGAGGATGAAGCGAGGGAGACTATCAAGGAGGCCCTGAAGTTCATGCGCAATCATCTATTCGAGGTAAAATTCTACATGCAAAGTGCAAGGGCGTGAGCGGGAGGTGGTTGATCACGAAAATTCTTAAATAACTTGAGTTCAGGTTCCTTTCATAGCGTTTTACCGCAAGGAATTGGTTAATTGCGTGTTATCAATAAGCGATCTTTGGAAGGTTTACGAATGGGACGAAAAATGGTGTCACTTGCAAAACCGAAAGAAAAAAGTAAGTTTTTTTACCAAAGGATTGTTAAAATTTTAATCTTTATTTCAATGAATGTTCATTTAAGCTTGTTGACTTGATGAAACGCATGCAGTACTATCAAACAGAGTCGCTACAGAACTTTCGCCGCGCAGTCTCTGATGAGGACATCATTGAGTGAGGAGCTATAAATCTTCGAGTTTCATTTGGATTCTTCGAGTTTTCCGACGATAATTAATTTTGACAGCTTTACAAGTTTACAACCTCTTCCAGGGTCTAAAGTGATAGTGGGTTGCCCGTCGATCACTAGTTACAGACAAAATACTCAAGGTATAGGGGTACCATGGATCGTCAACTGCCATGAAAGAATGTATGTTTGATCGGGAAAACTCTATTTCTGAAATGATCTTACGAACAGGGCTTCATTGCCGACTTGGACGATCCTGGAAAATGGAGTGGGAGAGCATGTTATGTAACCAAAACGATTGTCAATTCATCCAACTCATGATAGTTTTCGTGTTGCACATGCACCATGAATGTCCAAGTCGTTCGACTCCTGAATTCGACAGTTCCTCATGACCAAGCTTTCTTTCTCAAGAGTCAGCATTTGATCCTGACTCATGTTATTTTCATTTGTAGGTGGTGGGGAGGGGATGTTGGTGTAGTGGCAGGTGGCGCACTACCACACATGAAAGCAACAGTGATTGAATCCCGGATTGGTTTCTGTCTAGGACAGCCAACCGTTCCGCTTAATTGGAAGCCGACTCGTCTAGGATGATAAAGCACCGACTTGTGCATCGACTGGCTACCGCAGCTCGTTGTGATGAATGGAAGTCGAACTTGAGGGGGCATTTCATAAACAAAACTAATTAGCGTTGGCGGCAAAGGTTCTATTTCCATTCGTGTTTTAAGAATATTTTCTCTGTAGATGGTGATGGTATTTCAAATTGGCTGAGTCCAAGATAATATCAAAGCTTGGAAGAGGCTTATAAGAGTGCTATACCAGCACAGCTCAAAAATTCAAGTAAGATCAGGAACCATTTTGTTCGTCTTAGTTTTGTTTCTGTTAGGGTTCAAAACGTGAACACTGTCGAAGCACTGGGTGATTTATCAGCACAGTTCCACGTCTATTATGGTTCTGAAGTCGGGCGTATGCTGGACTGGGAAGCTGCCCAGAAAGTAGGTGGTTCTTTTCTTTGTCCTTCATAGTTTGCCCAACTGCCTGCACAATTCATGTTAAGGATATCGATGAGGGAGGTGACGGCACTAATGTTCACGGAACCAGGTTTCGGCAAAGCACCCGAAATGATCGATATCAAGTAAGTATTTATTATTTCTTACCTGCTTGGCAGTTCCTTCGTTTTTGCAAATGTAAATATGCTGGAATCTCTGTGGATTTGTACTTTTGTCGAAAGGTTACGGTCAAATGTTACAAACTGTTGGTCAAAGGCTGGTTCTCGGGTTGGAGCTCACAGTCCAATACCTTAACATTCAACTCTCTTCGTCTAGAATGGAATTTTCGTACAATGTGAATGCGCGCAATTGTATAGTATACACATTTTCGCGGTACACCAGGTGGTCCTGATGTTGTGGGCTGTGGTGGCGCACTTGAAGTTGAAGCGACAAGATGGCCTCATCTTGTCGCTAACACTAAAAAGACCATAGAGCGACAAAGAATAGAAGACAGAAAATCCTGCTTAACTAGTGTAGGGGCACTTATTTTTCGACTTTGTCACTGACGACAGCGCGTAAATCGCGATCAGGCACGTGGGACCCCGCCGATTTTTGACTAATTGCGACCGTGAACCGTGACTTGCCGATGTGCCACCAGATCCTACAAGCTCGAGTTGATTGTTACCGATTACGATACGATGGTTGACTTATGGCCTGATTACTGCATTCACTTCCATTTCGAGGGTAATTATCCACATTACCTCACTCCAAGTTATTGATCTTTGCCCTCTTTGTTTTGATGATGAATAAATTTCACGACCCTCCCAAATAATCAGATGCATAGTAAGTAGGAAAATCGTGGTCGTGTTGAAAAAGTGGAAGTATTCTCTCGTTCTCCCAGCTTATTTGAATACGCTCTTTTTTCGCTTCTGCGGACTCTGCATAACGTATAACGAGTGCGAACCAGTGTCTTCACAGTGTTGAGAGCGTCCTCAACGATTTTACGTCTCTTCACGATGTGGTTGATTGAGAGTGCTTTGAAAAGGTTGTACTTCGAAAAAAAANAAAAAAAGAGGTGTCACAGATTGTAGCCACAAGCAAAGCGATTTTTTTAATGATAGGAATCAGTTGTAGTAACTTACTGTGAGATGCAACAAGTTTCACGAACGCTATTGCTTTGAGTCTATCCAAGGTCAACTCGAGAGAATAGTGCAAATACTTGTTGACGTTGATGTTGGCAGGTTCAATTTTATCCTTTTTCATCTTACCGCCAGAACTGCCTTCTTTTTGATTTCTGTTACTGTTGCAAATGGACATGAACTGGTAATAAATCGGTCAATGGCGTATCTCCCAGACAGTTTTACTGGGTGGATGTGAAAGGTTTTGGGAAAGATTGTAACGAGTTTCAATCCCAAATTTAATGAAGGGACTAGTATGTAGCCAGTACTAGAACCAACGCTACATTTGATGTACGTGGCTCACTGGTCGTTCCATCGTGATCGGTTCAAAAGTAATTTACGGCAGTAGGCAACCGATTGTGATTGGTTTTATGTGTCTTATTGTCAGATTGTTAGTTTTAGATCCTTGTAACTAGTTCTATGACAGTGCTTTGTTAGTGACCATAAAGTCATAGTCGCGAGTGTTATTGCAAATAAGTAAAATGTCAAGGCTTGAAATTCTCTTCTTCTCCCAAAGGCTAAAAGGCAAAAATGTTGATTGATTTTCAGTTGTGTGTCGATAATGGTATTGGTGAAATGGTGGCAAGATTTGGAATATCTGCTCGGCAGCTCGCTGAAAATCTGGATTGGAAGAAACATGACGTAGAACAAGACCCGGTAATTTTCATCTTATAAATCAATATCGATTTCATATTCAAAATGTTTTACTTCGACTCAGGTCGCTCCCAAAGTGGCAGCAGCAGATTACACGAGTCCCTCTTTTCCTACTCCAGAAACTGTCATAGCTGGTGCGATTTATATGATGGCTCGGGAGCTCAGTCGAGAGCCAATTGTATGTTTTAAATCCTTTTCGCTTTTCAAACGAGGTATCTTACCAACTTCCTATTTCACCAGTTACGTCTTGACATCGTATGTTAATTTGAAGGCACGTGAGCGCATTCGGTCGGAGTATCGTTCTCATGTAAAACTTTACGTACGTCCGACTCAGAAAGGTCGCGAACACTTGGACGAGACAAGCCCTGTTTGGAAGATGAGGTATGGGCTCTTCAGTTTGTAGTTAGGTAGGGGCAAATGCTACTGTTTTTCAGATATGTAAAAGGCAAGCCGGTATCTAGACTGGAAGAGGACGAGTATTTGTACTATCATCAAGCAAAAGTAGCGGAACACCTGGAAATAAAATTTGTGTTTGAGAAGGATGTGGATGATTCTATGGTTGCGCGAAGTTTGTCAGATGCTCTTCTTGCAGAGCAGCCGTACAGAGTGGTGGGTATTGATGCCTCTCATTTCTAGCAGGATTCCATAAAACTCCTTCTATTATAACCTTTTTTTCTTGTGCCTAGGACGAGTACTCCGAAGTTGTTGAAGAATGGAATTCAATACGAGAAAAAGCCACGAGAATGGCTATTGATGAGATGGTGCTTCCTTTCCTTGAGAAAGAACTTGAAGAAAAACTTTTGGAAGAGGCGAAACAATGTGTTCTTCTGGTAAGTATAGCAAAGGAAATCAAGGCCCCAAGCACATACGCTATTAATCATCTCGATCAAACGAACTTTTTGACCTAGTATCTCTCCTTTGCTAGAAATGTGCAAAGGCTATGTACACACGATTGGAGCCAGCAGCATTTCAACCTACAGAAGAACAGCTTGAGGATGAGGATGAGGATGTCGTTCGCCAGGTTCGCCGCTTCCACCTTTATGTATAAGTTTGTTTGCTGAAAAAATACGTATGTATGTAGGCATTCGAATGTTAAATATGTTGATATTCGTCTATATTAGTGTGCGAACTTCAATCTCGAATTCATTAGACCTAGATTTTTTTCTACGAACTGGGTAACTTTATATCTCCTAGGTTTAGGGAGAAGTGCGTGTTATGGCGATTGCCTATCCTAGCGATTTCAACGAAGCTTCGTTTGGAGTGCTTGTTGACCAGGATGGAGCTATAATAGATTATTGCCGAATGGTACATTTTCTTAAGCGCTCCGGTGGATATGGGCCCAATCAAAATCTTAAGGTTCGACCAAGTTTCCTGTTCCCCGAATGTATATATTTCTTTACGTCTTAATAAAGTCTCAATTACGTTTGTCTGGATGCTTCATCTTTTCAAATTATTGTCTGAAACTTTCAGGCGGAATCAATGAACTTTTTCAAAAAGTTTGTTGAACGTAGGCGTCCGCATGTGATAGGGCTGTGTGGAGAAAACTTGGAGAGTATTCGTCTTCGTCGTGACATCGAGGAATGTCTAAATTCCATGGTCGCCGAAGGAGAAATCTCACGAGCACCACCAGTGTACATTATGGATAATGAGGCTGCTAAGGTGTACATGTTATCAAAGGGTGCAATCGTGAGTATCTTGGTTTTATTCCGAAAAGTTATAATCAGGTGAAAGTTGAGTCTTGATCACCACCTTGGGCTCGTCTTGGTTGTGATTTTGTGTATCCCCTCATACGCATGAAACTGCGAATTTGGGGTGAATCAATCTAGAATACGATATCGTAGCTGTAAATTTAAATCAATCAGAATTCATTGATTGATGATTCGCAGAGGCATACTAGTGTCCTAATATATAGAGAGGGAAAACGAGCATTACTTTTTTTGCTCAGCAAAAATAACCCTAAAGAGTAGTGCTTTTTAAGGCAGAACATTCTGGCTACCCTCCCACACTTCTTCAAGCAGTGTCCTTGGCCCGACTTCTTCTTGATCCTCTTTGGGAATACGCTCATCTGTGGAATGCTGATGAAGATATTTTCTGTCTTAACTTCCATCCATTACAAAGTGAAGTCAGCAGGGTATGTTGTTTTTCTTCGCGCTATTTTTTTTTCTTATTATGTCTATTTATTCAATTATACGATTGTCATTCGTCTAGAAAGAAGTAGGATAAACTACAACGCTGATAGGGCTTTAGCGATGGTTCAGAAGTGTAATCGAGGATTGTGTTAGAATTTGTGCCACTTCTCTTAGGCATTAAGGCAGAAACGTCTGGCATCGAGCAGACTTTCGGGGTTTTTGCCTTATTATACAACTTTAGACCCTCGAAGTGTTGTAAGGGAAAGCAGTAAGTGCTGGTACTTGAATGACTTCCTAAAACCACGGGATCACTGAGTGGAAAATGCAGTAGAGCTCGCATAGAGCTACGAAACTGAATAGTAGCATATTTCAAGTGACCAACACATCACAGCATAACATAACAGGAGGTACAAATGTATGTGCAAGAAAGTGCAATACAACTGCGATAGAGAAGCGATGAAAAAAAGGAACGTTTTTTGTTAATCCGAAGTTTCGTTTCTAACGATTTTTCAACGATGAAATCATCACTTTAGGAGGACTTGAGTAATGCGCTTTCACGCGAACTCATAAATCGGGTCAACGAAGTGGGTGTTGATGTCAATAGGTGAGTCAACAACGGCTAATCGTCGTTGCAGCTGCCCTCTTTGTGACATTTATATTTTAATCTTCCTTCATTTATGCAGGTGTTTGGAACATCCGCACACCGCTAATGTACTCCAGTTCGTTTGTGGGCTTGGACCGCGAAAAGCCACTCATCTTTTAAAGATGTTGAAACAGCATGATCATTTGCTCGAAAGTAGGACGAAGCTCGTAACGCTCTGTCGTATGGGCCCCAAAGTTTTTATGAACTGTGCGGGATTCATCAAAATCGACACAGCGCGGGTAAGCCGTTTTCTAGTGGTCGAGTGAAGTCGTTTCCATGCCTGAGTTTAGGTTGCTGAGAAAACGGATGCTTACGTCGAAGTGCTTGATGGCTCTCGTGTTCACCCTGAAACTTACGAGTGGGCTAGAAAGATGGCGGTCGATGCGCTAGAGGTGAACTTTATTGAATTATTTTTATGATCTGCATTATTGATCTGTTAGTCTTAAGAAAGCCACCTTTTCAGGTAGACGATTCCGCAGATCCAACCACTGCTTTAGAGGAGATTCTGCAGGCCCCCGATCGCCTGAAAGATCTCGATCTGGATGCATTTGCAGAAGAGTTGAAGCGACAGGTGAGAGACAACTTCCTTTTGTTTATATGGCAACGTTTTCAGTCTGTGATCCAGGGGACGTTTAGCAATCCTCTTCGGTCAGTTGCCACTTTGACTCCTTTCTGATGAATGTAAATGTTTCAATTGTTATTTTCTGCCACCATACTTCTCTTTCAGGGTTTCGGTGAAAAGAAAGCAACCTTGTATGACATCTCTGCTGAGTTGAATCACAGATACAAAGACCAACGAAGGCCTCTCGTGCCTCTTAGTGACCAGGTTAGTTCATCTGTGCACCACAAGTTTTACTTTCATTGAATATTTTTACTTCAGGAACTTTTTGCTTTGCTAACGAAAGAATCCAAGAATTTGATGGAAGAAAAACGGGTTTGTGGTGTAGTTACGGGTGTACAGTTCAAGAAAATTCCTGAAGACCAACGAGCTGCTTATATATCTGGGCAAGAACACATGGTAGGAGCATTACCTGCTGTGGTCGAATCGGGATTTACGTTATTTTGGATTTTTCAGCAACGTATCCAAGAATCCGAGTATTGGGAGTGCTCATTTTGCCGAATGCCTATTATTTCCAACAAGCTCTACGAACATTTAGAGATTAAGGTGCAGAATTCTGTTTTTAGAACATATTCAACGTTAGTAAGGCAAATCATCTTTTTTTTT